GTGCTATGTAGAACATACAGCGTATGACATACCTGTCAACTCTCATCAACTCTCATGCAACTCTTGTTCTCGTTTGACCGGGGCATGAGAGTTGAGAAAATTGTCAAAGCAAACTCTCACTTCTCAACTCGCATCAACTCTCATGCAACTCTTGTTCTCGTTTGACCGGGGCATGAGAGTTGAGAAAATTGTCAAAGCAAACTCTCACTTCTCAACTCTCATGCAACTCTTGTTCTCGTTTGACCGAGGCATGAGAGTTGAGAAAATTGTCAAAGCAAACTCTCGCTTCTCAACTCTCATCAACTCTCATGCAACTCTTGTTCTCGTTTGACCGAGGCATGAGAGTTGAGAAAATTGTCAAAGCGCACTCTCACTTCTCAACTCTCATGCAATTGTTGTTCTCATTTGACCGAGGCATGAGAGTTGAGAAAACTCTCAAAGCAAACTTTCGCTTCTCACATCACATCACATCAACTCTTGTTCTCGTTTGACCGAGGCATGAGAGTTGAGAAAATTGTCAAAGCGAACTCTCACTTCTCAACTCTCATCAACTCTCATGCAATTGTTGTTCTCGTTTGACCGAGGCATGAGAGCCGGTTGAGAAAATTGTCAAAGCAAAACTCTCACTTCTCAACTTTCATTCTCGTTTGACCAAGGCTTAACAGGTTATGGCTTAAGTTATGGTGATAAAACTTATTAAAACTACCCTGATAAGATAAAGTTTGACAAATCGAGAAAACAAGTCGAAAAGATTATAGCAAAGAGACAACATTCTAGTAGCACAATATATATAAGCGTTCGTATATATATTGCATGTTTAGAAACTTAAGGAGAATTCCAGTTAAGCGTTTTTATACGTAACGTAAGTTTAAATCTTTCTAAATTTCAAGTACTAATTACCTCAACAAATACATACAAAATTAAATGCAGTCCTTTTATTCACTGAGTTATCTCATAAGAAACTTTTAAATGGATTTAAACTTTTCCTTAATTCTTAAAGTGTTGGAAAGCAGGCTTTCAGAAAAAGATGAGCACAAAATTAAAAGGTCGTCAACAGCTAATCTCCTGGCTGCAAAGTACTTTCGCTAAATTTAGTGTTCAGATGGTCTCTGGAACAACAGAAAACGAGCTTGCAATTCGCGGGGTTTCGTTCACAGTCCGTGGGAGTTGCGCAACGCTGACCCAAGCAAGACCGGTCGAATACCGGTTATAATCGAACAACGCGACAAAAATTAAATTACACCCCCGCAGTTTCCAATATACAGGGAACTAAAACACAATGAGAGTCTATGTCTCATAGATAAATTTCATCAAACAGCGGGCAGGTTACATCGAGTGAGAAAATGATTTGTGATCGTCTTCTATCTGGACTCCAGTGAATAAGAGGCCATCAAATGTTGCCGTCTTGTGTACTTGGACTCCAATGAAAGAAAAGTGTTTTAGTCCAATTTTCTTACTTCTACTTAAGTGTCATTATTTCTGCAATCGATCATGCATACACCAATTATTTTTCCCTTTAACGATGTAATGAAATGATTTCTGTTTTCCTCTTAGGGCATAATATTAAAACATCTTTCTATCTGAAATGAAATCGGTTAAAGCCACACTAATATCCAGCAGTTATTGACTTCCTTCATTGTTTCAAATTCAATAGGCCAGACAACATGATTTGTTAAAACAGTGTGAGTTAATGCTGTCTTGTGATCATCGCGGCATCCTATTCAAGTAGAATTATAGTTCTGAGTACAGACTATCTAGAGATTGAATTGAAACTGAATTTCATATACAGTGATTTCACAGTGGTACTATAGTGTATTTCATTCTTAGCATTGGTTGTAGTTATTTCCTGCAAAAGATAATTATTTTGCAGTTTGGTTATATCGGCGAGATATCGCGTGCGCCGTGATGCTAATAAGGAATACTATCCAGAGCGCACGCAGCGCAAAAAGGCGGTCTGGCAGTGATGTCTAGAAATTTCCTAACAACGAGTCACGCAAACGTTTTTTTTTATGAGATGACCTTTGTTCTCCATAGTGTAGTTCATAGTTATTAATTTAAAGCGCGCTCTGCTATTACTCTGCGCTCTTACACAACTCTTCTTAAAAACAATCCAAGGAGACGAAGTTTTTAGATCTTTTTCAACTAGTTCAGACATATAGAACTTATTGTAAATTTTATCCATAAATTTTATTTTAATTCTGTGTTATATAGCCTTCTTATAGGAGAGTCAAATAGACTGAGTTCGATGCTCTAATTGAGTAGTAGAAAATATGGACAGAAATTGTGTGACCAACTTGCAAATATTTGCTCACAAAACATCGCGTGTATGTTGCAATGCAGATCAGGAATGCAGTTTAAATATAAACAAGGGCGATGTTTGTACATCATTGTAAAAAAAATTGAAAACATGTGCAAGCAAGTCACGCAAAGTTAAAACTTTCATTTTTGAGGACTCTGATGATATATGCTACAAAAATGGAATAAAAGTTGCACTCTATACAATTTCATATGGTATTATCATGGTACATTATACACGGTCAGCGTCTAACCAAGGCAGGAACAAACGAGATGAGAGTACACGAGACTTGAGAGTACACGAGACTTGACAGTCACGCGACCTTTGGCTGTTCTCAATTGCTTTCCCAACATCATCATGTATTAATTTATATAGTTAGGACACTCATCAAATCTTTATTTTGTTCATCCAGAGCTTGGAATGTCCCCAATAATGCGAGACCATGCCAATTCTATTTAAGTATTGCGCAACTTCGGTAGAATTCATAAGCTTTATTAATTTTTATTGCTCGTGTCTTTCGTCTTTATTTTCTATCAAGTGGTTTTGTAATGAAAGAATTTTTCCTTATAAACAGACTGTTTGGCTGGCTTACGCCTTTATTTTTGTCAAGTGTTGCTGCTTCCTGTTGTACACTGCATGAAATACTTATACTGGACCGCTTATATTGGGAGGATAACTGTTCTGACCATTTCTGTTCAGTATAAATAAAGTTAGTTTAGGTTTCCTCTTGAAAACCAATAAGATACGACTCCTATATACTCCATGGACCTCCAGGGGGAACAATTTAGAAGATAGAGATACCAGAGTATAAATTAAGTTAAATTAGTGCCAGTTAAGTCTTAAATAGCGTGTTTATTTAATTTTGGTACTTGAAAATACTTGTATGTAGCTACACCTATTTTCCCCTAAGGTACGAAACCTATTCTCATCAGACAATCTGGCGTTCTCTGCAGTATGCTGAGTATATACAATAGACCCTTCCGTTGAAAGCACTTAGCCTCGTTTTCAGGATGAGATATCCATACAAGGTAATGGACCTTATTACTGATAACCTAATTATATCAATGTCTTTTATATTATCTGATATTATACGGTTTGATTTCGTCACCTGAAATAAGATAAAAAGCACTAAATCCAGTATCTCAAATCACGAATCAGAAAGGTGTATCAGAAAAAAAGAAGGCAGTTTTGAAACTTATTTCACTTTTTTACAATAACAATATGCAAATTAGGTAAAGGCATGAATTTAACATGAGTGAAAGGCATTGGTGCCAAAAAATGTTTCAGCAGCTATTTAAAGGACTTAAAATTGAGCAAATTTTCTGATACTTGGACCATTGATAAAACACATAACAAACTTCTCGTCCATGAACTCAAAATGCGTTTTAAACTTTTAAATTTCGCGCGTAAGCGATTTTCAATGCTGCTAAAAAAGACTCCACCCCCTACTCTGGGAAATTTATCGTTACGAAATTTTTTGTTCATACTACATTATAAGTATACTCAAACAATATATATTTATCAAAAATTTCATGACATGAACGAATTTGTGAAATTGAGAGCCGTTTATAGTCAAGACTGAATATACTTTCCGGAAGTGTGTATTGCGTACGTATTTCCATCGAACTGGTCAAAACTATGGTAGAGTCTTTAATTAATGAGCCTTTGTGCAACTTTGACTTGACGTAAGTTATATACGTAAAACACCTTGGTAATCTATATTAATTGTCGGATCTACGCAACTTTTGAGATTTGTGTTATCTTCTTCCAAGGTGATTTTGTCGAGTGGAAATACTTTTAGTGTATACGCTGACGTTATCGGATGTGCTTGTTACCCTAATTACACACTTTGGTGTTTCAGAACGAAGGTTATGTACAATAAAAAGCATTTTATATCCGATCCTACAAGAACGTATTAATTTTCTTTTCAAAAATATGTTTCTTTGGATATATAAACCATAACTTAAAACTATAACTTTAAAGCAGCATTTGTGCGTTGTGGTCACCAAGCTTGCCTTTCAAGGCTGGGAGACGCGGGTTTAATCCTTGGTCGGACCTCTACTCAAGGTCTTAAAATGATTGAGGAGAAAGTGCTACCTTTACATTGAGATCGGTAAATGGTTTACTCGGATAAGGAAGTTAAATAGGGGTGAGGTATTAATTGGGACGAAAGTCCTGTTCCTCATCCCTGTCACGTACGTTGTCTTGTAACATGTTATGTATATCGGTGTCGGTGTAAACATTTGTGACGAATTTCATAATAATAATAATAATAATAAATCGTACGTACTTCGGATCCCTATCAATTGCATGAGCGATAGCCGGTTGGAAAATCCGCTCACCAAACTCAACTCAATGATGCTTGTGATGTTACTCTGAGTGTATATCCACACCGGGCAGGCAGGCTTGAAAAATACGCCTGGCCATGGTGGGAATCGAACCTACGACCTTTGGAATACTAGCCCAATGCTCTGCCAACTGAGCTACGCGGTCAGGTCGGTTCGAGTATGTGATATTTCGGAACTGAGTCTAGTTCCTTCAATATCGATGTAATCTTGTAATCATAATTTTTTTCTGTGTTGGTGTTGTGTACTCAGGTGAATATGATGCTTGTGATGTTACTCTGAGTGTATATCCACACTGGGCAGGCTTGAAAACTTAATGACTTGTACACAAATACAAAATAAACGTCTATATACAAATTGTCTTTATTCACATTATCTTATACGATATTTAACAGTATAATACAGTTCTGCACATTTTTGATGTTTCTAACATGCATAAAAAATTATTGATTGCCTGTTTGAACACAGACGGCTATATAATCCAATCTTATTCACGAACAGTTCTAAACTGCTCGTGTATTGTATACAATTTGAGATTACAGTGTTCTCGCTGTTCTGGTATAAAGAGAGGGTCTCTATATACTGGAAATTGTTTTCAAAATTCTTACCATGGGAATAGTATTATATCGATAGCTATAACTTATGAAGCATACACTTTTTGGGTACATGCCACGCCCATTCTCTATTCCCAATGGTTCTCTCAAAGTTAAATATGTATTACATAAGATCTGCCTAGATATACAGCTATTTCAATTAAGGTTGTCCCCCGAGCAAAGTGGAAAAGTCGAATACGAGCGCGAAAGGCTGCTGGGAATCGCTAATAAATGAACGAATTTATTAGCGATTCGCAGCAGCCTTTCGCGCTCATATTTGACTTTTCCGTTTTGCTCGGGGGACAACCTTAATTGAAATAGCTGTATGCTTTACAGGTCTTTGTATGTATGTGACTATAGCTGGGTTTCAGTCAGGTGATACGTTTAGAGCTTGGTGGTCAATTTCAAATGGCAACACATTTACTGGATCGAGTTCAATATTCATTACAAGTATTGATCTTGTGTTTGGTATCAAATATATGTAATTTAACGAAATGTACTTGCTTCCACAAGGCATAAACGGCAATATGTGTAAAATTGATCACCAAGTGTTCCCCTATTGTATAAGTCTTAAGTGAAACCCACCTATACTTCAGATATGACTGAGATATGTAGAATGTATAAAACTGTAAAGCAAAAGTTATTCCGAATAAGGAGTGCATAATATTAACACGCAATTTATTAAAACTGTATATTTCGAATCTAAATCTGATTCATCTTCAGCAGTGTTTTGCAAGATATGTCGTTATATTACAAGCGTGAGCAATTTTAAACAAGCTAGCGACATATCAGCAATATAACGACATATCTTGTAAAATTGCTCACGCTTGTAATATAACGACATATCTTGCAAAACACTGCTGAAGATGAATCAGATTTAGATTCGAAATATACAGTTTTAATAAATTGTGTGTTAATATTATGCACTCCTTATTCGGAATAACTTTTGTTTTATTTTTGCTGAAATTATCATAGGTCTCCCGAAAAGGTCTTTTATTTAAAATAAATCCATACAGTTTGCTTTGACATGCAATGCTTCAATGTACAGTAAAACCTCTATAATTTGTATTACATGAAGTACGTGCAACATCACAATAGCGTTGTCTCATTATGTAATTTTCGGGAGACCTATGAAATTATCAGCCGGAAAAGGATTCTGTATAATAATGTACATTAAGTTCATAGCGTTTTCACGCATCTGACTGATTCTGTTGTGTCATTCAGTCGTTAGGATAACGAGGAGTATATAGGGAGTATAGTGGTATACACGTGTAGATCTCTTGCCCACACGACAAGACACATCATACCACAACATACGATGAATTTCTGTTCCCAATCGCCTGTCTCACTTCATCGAGGTTGTAATAGGTAGGTCCAACGCCCCCCTCGTATACCACGGTCTCATTATATAGCACGTACAAGCGGATAGCGTTGACACCGTACATCGTGCTAGCTTCGTTCTTCATGGAGTCTGCAAACATTCGTATGGAAGTGTGCGAGCAATAGACAGAAGAGAATTTCTGTGCTGCATCCAGACGATCTTCAATACTTTGATGTTTTGCTATCTCAATTTCGTCCTGTCAAAAGATAAAAGATTGAAAGTTTAATTTGAGAATTGATAGTTTAAGAACTATCGAACGGTCTTTATACTCTCTAGAAACGATAGAGGTATCCAGTATAAATAAACTAAAACTACAATAAGCTAACTTTACTGTCACTGGATAGTTCTGTCAGTTGTAAATTGTTCCTGCTAAGGCCAACTCCAAGAAAGCGTGCAGCGTTTGGTAGAGTCAAACTGGAAGCACAGTCTTCTCACATGGGATTGAGGTGAAATTATAATCACACAACTACGTATTTTCAGAATCAAACCCCAACTAAAAAAGAGACAGGCACATGTAGCAACCACTGTGCAAAAATACCAGCACAGGCAAACGGCCGAAAAGCTGAAAATGCCGCCCCCTCCTCACTTTTCCAACGGTCTACCCCTTAAGATGAGTATAAAATCTTACCTTAAACGCCCAGCCGTCAGATGGGTGTGCCTCATTAATATATATCACGGAGAAATCAGCCACACTGTGAAACTCCTTTGCTAATGACTGCAGTTCCTTGAACTTCAATCGAAACACGGGACAGGAATAACTGCCGAAAGCCAGTACTTGTAATCTCTGGACATCAACGGCTTTTAATAACTGCTTCTCTTCCCCTGTGCTGGGATCAACAAGGAGTGGATCAGGAGCTTTTTCACCATACCGTGCAGTTCTTCTCATGTCCAATCTGTGGTGGTCCCAGAGGGCTTTCATCATAGCTTGTGTAAACAGAGAATTCCAGTACATATGTTCAGGCAATGTGACCCCGGCGGCCTTGTGCATGATCGCCACGGTGATCCTCTTTGCGAAGGACAAACGGAGTAGGGTATTGCCGATCACAAAAATAAGGCATAATTGTAGAAATAGAACGAATTCGCGAAGTTTTTGAACGATAATAGAAATTGCCATGGTTGATGGTATTGTGATAGTATTTTGATGGTTGGTTGAACTCGAAACTCTTGAAAACTTCAGCAGCTTTTCTCTCTTGAGGAATTTTCAGCACCTTTTTTAATTGTCGATTTTTTTAAAGTTCAACTTGATTTATCAATATATATATATACCTTTGATATGTCAATATACCTGGCTATATATGTAACCTTTGACTTGGATTTGAAGTCAGCTATTCCAGTCAATTTCTCCTTTTGGTATTCTTTTTATCACGTACTGGGAGTGTTACCAAAGTCTAGTTTTGTGCATGTATACCTCTGTTCTGCGACCAGTATCGTATACAGTATATGTCACAAGTTCCAGTCTGGCTGTAGGTTATTTCAGATTTGACAGAAGATTATCTTTCAAGTGCTATACTATAGTATATAAATGTTGATCTTCTTAGCAAATGCTTGTATGTCCTCTGAAATTCTGCGATAAGATGAGGCGTTAAGGCTGGCTAGTAGCTGTTTCCCTGCGATGTATATCTTTAAACCGTTGTTCTACTTCTGTATATAACTCTGAAAGCAAATGCACTATAGTATTCTGCAAGGAATTGGTCTATACGGAATTCGGAAATCGACTCTTATATAATCACCAGTAACCAAGGTTCCTCTGTATTCCTCTTGCAAGCAGTGAAGCGATGTCGTGCGTCTACCTCGACCACAGGATATGGGTAATCACGCTATGGGTATACTCACGCAATCACGCGAACGAAAGGTGTTTAACAAATAACACAAACACGTGGATATATATAAACGGTTCTTTATAACATATACATGTATTGGGTTTCGCCAAGGATGCCTGAAAAACAACAGAAGTATAAATCAGCTTAACCGCATGCCTGAAATTCATAGGGAGATTACAAAAGCTACGTGTACGATTCTTTGATATACAAGTATTTCGGTTCGATTCGAATATGATCTATATCGCTTTACCAATGCAAGTGGCCCTAACTCTGTCTTACTCCACGTGATTCTACTTGTCTATGGGAAAGCCCTTGCATATAGATGGTAATATTTAAGAACAAACAGATTATATCGATACATGAACATCAATTAAATAATCATGCATGTACACATTATACAACTACAAACGTATTAAAAAGTTCGTATAATGACTCGTACTTTGCATGGCTGCAGAAGTTGAGAGCTATGGAGCGATACTATCTCCGTGTGAAGATTTCCAGTTAACTGTTTTTTACACCGCGTGTACGTATACGCACGTTTATAAAGTTTAAATAAAGTTTTACTGATATAATACCTCAACACATTAAATCATACAGAAAACTAAATGTTGTCTTTTTATATTTATTTAGTTATTTCACCAGTAAAATTTAAATGGTTTCAAATTTTCCACGCGTCTACACGCACGTTTGAAAAACGCTTAACTGGAAAGTAGCCAAATTCAAAATGTATCCTTCACAACTTCAAAACTTAGTTGAATGAGGTTACAGGTCAAACTCCAAATATCACAAGGGAGGAGGTATTACGGACTATAACAACTTGGCTGTCTCCATGCACATACATAAAATCTACAAAAACGGTACTTTGGTCTAGACCTAGAAAGGGCGAGAGGGGGTGGGGGGCACCCTTCGCTAATAGTCTTCAAGATCGTTCGGTAATGCACATTCTATAGTGATGGGTCAGTGGTGTAGCTTATAGTGTGCGAGGAGTGAAAGAGAGAGGGGGCACTCCCCACCAATATGGCGTTCTATCATATATCATTCTTCTTCACAATCTCACATACTTTATTGAGAACAGTATTAGAATAAACAGTATATAGAGACCCAATTAAAATGGTAGATTATGCCTATATTGCTCTATAGAATATTAACGTGTGGGGGATATATTCTTTCGTACCCAAATTCGAAACCTAACCTTCACTACGCTACTGAAACGGTGCATATATAACCATCGTCCAGTAACAGATCTGTGCACTCAGAGGTTAACTGACAGTATTACAATGGGACAATAATGACTAATGTTTATTATTCTTGTATATATGGAGACAAGAAACAGCGAGATTCATATAGTTTAACTTGCTTGCTCCTGTAACTGAATCAAGACTTCTTCATGCCCTGCAGGTTGAAATTCTAAAACATTTTTTAGTCGCCCAAGTGGCGATCTGCACGCCAAATTCAATATCAGGTCTCCCCGCAAAATCAATATATTATGAAGTATATTGTCTTTGTATATATATATATAAATAACATAAAATACAGTTGTATATGTTGGCAAATAATATGAGATATATTTGGGCTTCAGAATTATATTTTAAGTTTTTACTCAGTCCCCACGAGGGCTACCTTTGCCAAATATCTCGGGTTGCCAATGCCAGACGAAAAATTTTGTAGCATTTGGGGACCTGGAACCCGCCCATTTCTACCCCTGCTTCTGCATGACCACAATCGATCTGGCCAACTAAACCCAGTCAATGAACAAACAAGGTGAGGTTTTGGGGGAAATTTTTTAATAAGCTCTCCCGCAAGCTGTTCCTATATACAGTCCCTGTTTGCCTACTATATAGAAGGTTGACTCGCGCATATAAAAACAGGGACTGTACTATTAACAGAGAATACTGCACTAATTGCTCAGATCCCATACTCAAGTCATAAAGATCACATCTAATTTACAGTTTTTATTCTAAATTCAAGCCTTGAACACACTTACCAAATTGATAGCCAAGTTCTTCAGAAGATAGCGTGACTGAAGTGAATGACCGTCCTGTTTACCATGCGGGTGAAGAATGTGCTCAGTGCCTACATAACAGCCGTAGAAACATTATTTCAAAATCAGTGGGAGGCGTGAAAATGATTAAGCCGCTTTCTTAATAAACAAGGAACTGGAAAAAAAAACGAACCAAGATTATGATAATTGACCGTCTACTGACCTGATATGGTCTTGACAACGAGAAATCGTGACTGAAATTTAATAAGATACGGTTCCTGGTCGTTCCATTTCCTGGCATGTAATGTCCCAGTTCTGATAAAGATATTCAAGTGCAATTTTTATTGTTGCTTAATTTGATAATCGTCCCCCTCATACCCGCAGTCACGCAATCATCGCATGATGCAGTTCATTGACCTTGCGATTCTCGTCGAGTGTCAGAGCGCCCGTCTGCACGATTGGCAAAAAGTCCTTCATTTCAGAATACTGCACTTGTAAACTCACATTCCAGTATACTTTTAAATTGAGAACGTTTCATGCCGTATGTGGAAAAACCGCGAAAGCAAAGTATGGCAAAATATCCGTGTTTTACATAATGCAAAACAATGATAACTGTAAATAGTATGCATACCATAGTCATAGAATATATTACGGCGCTGTATTTCAAGAGGGTGACACTTGGGCCCCGTTTACACTATACCGGATTCGCTCGTCACGCCATCATCTTCTGCCGTTAAGGAGCAATGGTTAGTAGCAAATGCTTATTAGTTTGACAGAATTGCCATGTTTATTTGGGTCTCTGAGATTAAAAATCTTCACAGCCTTTCGATACCTACAAAATTTGACCCGCTCCGATAGCAATCCGGTATAGTGTAAACGGGGCTTTAACATGGTAAAATGTACGATAAACGTGTGGTCTTAATCTCTTAAAAAGAAAATCCGAATAAAAAAAAAACAAGTCAATATAACATGCATGAAACTACATGGGCTAATATAGATATGGGTTAGTATTTATTATATTACAAATACAATAATAAAAACATATAGTTATTTATATAAGGTACATATACTGCACATCAATCGTTCCGACGGCATAAATTTGTTTACAGTTATATGGTTATGGCTCCATTATATATTGATTGCCTTCGTCATATGGAGACATGTTTTGCTGTTCAGCGGTTTATCGACTGTATTATAGTGCAAGTTTGGAACATTGTATACCAGGTAGCCGCATTTTTAACACTTGCTCGCACTGTACAAATGTGCTACAATTAAAGTATATGAATATAATGTGTTGATACAATCTATGAACAGTAGTCTGTGCCATTGTAGGTGGTGCCACTATAATATAAGAAAGCTTTGGATGGATAGGAATGCAACAACCTGAAATAACAACTTCGATGTTTCAAGCGAAGGCCTTTCATCGGGAAGTTAGTATAGCGGGGGTTGGGAAAATGATCTTAACTGATTATAAGAGCTCATGTAATTTTCTGGACCCCCGCTACTCGAAACGTCGACGTTCTCCTTGTATTAGGGAGCTTAACCATGTAGGACGGCAACACGACGACGACGGCAACCAATACAATGAGTCAATGAAAATAAATAAATAATTAAAGTCTCAGGGGAGTTTCAGACGTGGTCGTCGCTCTGTTTACAACGGCAAATCACAGATTTTCACGTCTTTTATATACAACGCCTGCATTTCAAGCCGCAACAAGTGCAACTTAAAATTCGGTTCAGTACAACTCTCCCCAAACATAAAGCCAATGTTTTCAGCTTCTTATACTGTATTAAATTCATTACGACCGTTTTTATCCCCATGCACTATAGTCGATGGAGGAGATGCCATCCAGTGCAACTGATGAGATGGCTCACCTAGCTGGGTTGGCTCATGCCCCCAACTGAAATTTATATGCGTACATGCACTGCAAAGGGCATGGACATCTTACTCAGTCGCAGGTGAGTTTCTCGGATAGCTTGTGATCATGTGAACTCAGACCCTATATATAAAAGTAAAATATTCCCTCAGGAAGACCTCGCTTATATTAGATCCTTCTGGTTGAACTTAGTATTCTGTATAACAACTTCCCATGCAATTTAGCTTTGGGAAACTCGCATGTATGACGTGTGAACCAATTGTATGCATGGTTAGGTATTATACAGACCTGCCAACCCTATGGCTATATCAGCATGGAGTGTATTTTACAAAGTTGTGAGAATTTATGAAAAACCGTGAGATTTCAGAACTTTCCTAGGTTTTCTCATCATCATGGATTAAATGTATATCAAAAAGTCAGTTCTTTATTTAGCTCGAATCACTTTGAGATTTTAGGTGCGATTTTCTTCTCCTGATGGATGTGAACGAGTGGATAAGTTATGAATGTTCAGATGCATGAGGGTACATGTAGCACAATGTTTCTCACAAAAGTCAAACAAGTGAAAACAAGGGTTGTATTACGTATATAAGCCTATAATTATAAAGACACTGTTAAACAGGCTTCCTCAAAACTCATGATATTCAAAGACTTTGTGTCTAATTGTCGTGAGACCGTGAGAAAGCAACGAAACTAAACCGTGAGAGTTGGCATGTGATGAAATGCTTTCTGTATGTGACAGCATATTGCGTAAAATTGATTATTATTGTCTCTATATGTTTTGCAGTTATTCTAATATTTAGATTTTTTACTTTGCGTGATGTCTTGTGCAAAACACACTTCCTATCACCTATGATCATCTCCGCCTTTTAATTATCTCGAGAAGTACGTCGGCTCTAAATTGGTTAATTGCTAGTTATGGTAGTTATCACATAGTTCGCAATAGCGGAACGCGAGTATAGATTGTTATTTAAATATACACATTGTCCTACCTCGCATTATTTGCGGTCTTGACCTCTGTTATGATTTTTCTAGACTTCTCTATACGTAAAAGCTTGGTGCGCAAACTATTCCTGAATAGTCAGTGATGCTCAGTAAACGATGCATTCTCCGCATAATATGTACGATCCTAGCCTATATATCGTTTAATTATATTCTCAATTGTGCGTTGAACATTGAAATAACTATATATATGAGTTTATATGTTTTCTTTGACGTTTCGACGATCGAAGGCTCTTTGAAGGAAATTTAGTTCTCCTTGCTGCTTGCATTTTTGAGGTACTTGCATATTTTCTATAGTCTAAATTCTTTCATGATA